ATTTATTTATTTATTTATTTATTTATTTATTTATTTATTTATTTGTTTGTTTGTTTGTTTATGCTATTTTTAATTATACTTAGTTTGAACTTAATAATAGTCTTTAATTGACAGCCAATTTTGCTGGGGGAACATATAACTATAAAGTTGGGGTTAGGGTTAGAGGATAAAATGTTTGCTATTTCAGAAAATGTACGCATTTTTAAGTGAACTTGTTCCAGAAAGCTGAAAAACTAAACTAAAGAAAAACTACACAATGATTTATTTGTCCTTAGCTTGACGTGAAATACCAACCTATCCCAAGAAAGCAGTTATAATTTGCAAACTACAATGTATATGTTCATACATTATAAAGGAACAACAGTTTTATGAGTGGATATGTTCAATATTTATAGCACTGTTTTCTTGGCTGTTTTTTCAATAGACTATAGAGCACGAAGGGAAGTTTTACGATTGTGACTTTCTCCCATTCATGGAGATTGGAACCGTAGCTCACAAATACTATCTTCTCAACATTCGTCTTCCAGTGAATGAAAAGGCAGGTATTAATGTAGGAATTGGTGAAATAAAGGATATCCGTTTAGTGGTAAGTATCTGTTAATAGTTTTTTATACTAATTTCCTTTTCCATATAAGCATACACATAAGCTGCTAGCCTAACAGAATCCAAACAGCTGTATTTATTTCACGTACTTGAGATATTCTGAAATTCTGAATATGGAATTAATTGCGCTTACTCTTTTATTCTATTTATTCTTTGTGGTTAGATTCCACCAGGAGAAAACCAGATTTAAAATGTGGACAATAGAATTTGTTTCAATAAGTTTGCATGGAAAATGAGCATATGATGCTCCTTATCATTCCAAAGAAGCATTTGGAAACCCAATTTCCACAGTGTTTTAAAATCTTCTTAAATAATTTGACTAGTAGGTTTGGTAGCTAGGGAAGTAGAATCAGAACAGAATTGGCATGTAATTATTTGGGATGTTTTATATTGATTACAGGATCTTATGCAGCTGAGACATTGTGCTAACTATAAAGCAAACAAAAATAAAGGTTGTCTCCGACCTCCTATAATTACTTTTTAAAACACAGAATTAAGTGCATGTCCTTCAGGATGGGGGAAAAGAAGAACATATGATAATTCAGTGGTTGGAAATGTGGAATGTTGTCCCTATACATAGTTTCCAGGTTCCCTGCAGATTTTCCCCCTTTGATGCCTCTTCTGCCATTATGCTTCTTTGCACCCATGAAATTAACTAATTTTTCACTTGCTCTGCTGGTAATAGCTTCCTCGATGCCTCCAGGAGCAAGCAGCCATTTTGCTAGACTATCAGCACCTNCTGCTTTCTTTTCTTCATCTTCCAAGAAGCTAAACTAAGAGAATATGGGATATGATAAAAGAGGCATACTTAGATTGCGTTTTTATTTATTTCTACCGTGTTTCCCCGAAAATACAACCTGTCCTGAAACTAAAGCCTTGCCACATTTTTTGTGTGGGCAAAAATATAAGCTCACCCCCGAAAATAAATCCTCTGGACAACCCCCCACCTGCCTCCGGTTAGGTAGAGCACCACTCACCAACATAGCAGTATCCTGAAGGTACCAAGCCACAGGAGAAAGCTGGGGGGAAATGCGCTCACATTGCTTGCCGCCTTCGGGATACGCTAGGTTGGGGAGTGGTGTTCTGCCTGGCCGGAGGCGGGAGTTGCCCAGCTCTCCCTGCAGCAGCAGCCGCTGCGCTCCAAGCATAACGTCTTCTCCAGTTCCAAACTCCCAAACTCAGCTGCAGAGTCTTCCAGCAGCGGCCGCTCTAGGAGGGCGATCTATGGTTGTGGGCTGGCTGCTGGAAAACTCTGTAAGAGAGTCTTCCGTACCAAGAGTCTTCCAGCAGCCAGCCCACAACCATAGAGCGCACTCCTAGAGCGGCCGCTGCTGGAAGACTCAGCAGCCGAGTTTGGGAGTTTGGAACCAGAGAAGACTTTATGCTCGGAGCGTGGCAGTGGTGGCAGCTGCTCCAGGGAGAGCTGGGCCCAGACATGTAGAGGTTAGGAGGCATGCCTGCTGGGGGCAGAACAGGCGCTCATGCAACACCCTTCTCCAGCCAGGCAGAGCTCCATGCACTGACCTACGGGTATCCCGAATGTGCCAAGCCGCAGGAGCTGGGGAGTGGGCAGAGCACCACGTGACTTGGCACCTTAGGGATACTCCCTAGGTCAGTGAATGGCACTATGCCCGGCTGGAGAGAGGGTTTGCTTGGCGTCTGCTCGTGAGCTTGGTCACCTCATGGCTGCTTTGCCCCTGAGGCTGTGCCTGGCTCTTCAGGAGCCAGTTCACAAGGGAGCAGTCGCCCGGCAACCCCAAAACAATAAGCCGTCCCCTATATGTAGCCCAAGGCCATATTTTGTAAGTAAAAAGAAAATAAGACCCTGTCNCATCAGTTTTCTATTTTTCTGTCTTTAACCTGTAAAAAAGCTCTTTATAATTTTACTCCAAGTCACTTTCAGGACCGCATCTCTCCACTAGAGTCAGCCCTATAGATTCAGTCGTACTAAGTAAAAGAAACAGCTAGTAATTCCTGAATTTCAGAAGATTGGGCAGGTTGAAGCCTGGAAACCAGATCTCTAGAATCCTCCTCCTGTTGGAGGTTCAATAGACTCTGACATAATACACATTCTGGAAAAAGTTAAAAATAGGAATCTTCCAATGGTCATTTGAAGTGTGGTGTCATCTAATTGTAGTAATGGTTCTTTTATTTATGGTGATTTTTCTATTATAAATTTTGTGTGAAGCTTCTGAGAGTCTGATTAGACTGCAGCAGGATATAAACTTGATAAATAATTTTATGAAGATCATTATTGATGGTATGGAGTAATGTTGGTCTTGCTTGAAAATGTATTTTGTTAACCTAAATCCAAGCAGTACTGATTTTATATATAGATTGTCAGTGACACACTGTAATTTTAAGCAAAGCACAGGTGTTCATAAAGAAGTGCCACCCATGAAAAAGAAAAGCTGGAAAGTAAGTGAAGGTAGTCTGGTGGGATTTTTAGCTACACCAAGGAAGATGTAAACTATAATACAGTGCACAAAAGGAATTGTCACACTACTCTTTGTCATGGCACGAGGAGCAAGGAACATCTGTTATCCAGTCAATCAGTATTTGGGGCAGCCAAAAGTAATTGCTCTGTTTTTGCCATAAAAATATTGTTTGACACATTTAACATGTTGTATCCTGTTGTTTTTGCAGGAGAAAATGCAAAAGTTAGTCTTGATGTGCACTTAGGATATCGTGATGATACAGTCGGTGAGTGGACAGAAATGGCACATGGGGTAGAGACTCGAAAGCTCAACTGTACATTTGGTGCTCCAAAAGTAAGTTCTTTGTGATTCTGTTCTGTTTTAATACACTTGTCCTAGTAAAATGCAAAATCTTTTGTTTGCTTTCAAATGCACTGAATTAATTCTGCCATGGATACAGCATAGTTGGAGACTATCCTAAGATTTCCAACTTTAATTAAAGTATCTTGAGAAGTTTAAGAACTTTAAATTATAAATATAAGTTTATACAGAAATATAAATAAATTGTAAGGAGGCTTGTTTCTGAAACTTGGTACTATACTATTAACTTACTAGGACTAGTAAGTCTATATTAGCAATGGTTTTATTGATAACCCAGCACTGGAAAACTAATAAAACTTCTACTCCACCAGTGTTTTTCACAATCTCAACCAAGAATCAGATGTTCATACATCCCCCCCTCTCCCTCGCCTATAAAAGTATTTCAGTATGTGGGCTATAGTATAGCATAGCTAGTGGAAAGCATTAACATTATGAATTATTTCACACTTCCAGGTTTGGCTGAACAAATGTTATAGTTTGGCTTAGTAAGATGTAAGATTCAGTGTCCTTTTTATTTATTTATTTATTTATTTATTTATTTATTTATTTATTTA